TGTTGCTATAAGACATCCTATATTTTTCCACACCCATGCTCACAGTGCCAAACGCGACGCAGGTGTGGCCATTGTTACTTCGTGGCTTGTTCTGACCCTGTTTGGTCTCATGCCCATTATGGGTTTAAACTGTATAGACATGCCAAACGCAAAGTGTTTCAACCTTTTCCCTGTGCCGGTTGCTGCTCTTGCATGCACAGTGATTCTCCTGTTAGCCTGTGTGATGCTGTTCACAAATATAAGTGTATTCATAGCCATGAAAGAACGACAAAAGAGAAGGCTTGGGCAGCCAGGGGGTCAGAACAATCCGGGACAAAACCAAGATCAGCCTAACGATGCAGCAGAAAGAAAATACCAACAAAGTGTGCACAAAGCCAGGACTGTTATGATTCAGGTAGTAGCGGCTTTTATCTTTTGGCTGTTCCCCCTAATACTCATCCCAGTGTGCCATATGGCTGTGGATAACTGTCCAATTCCAACCAGGAGCACTGGAGTACCTTTGGTGACACCATTGCTGGTAGTTTTAAACTCGGCGATCAACCCAGTTGCAAGTATCATCCGCACACCGGACTTACGACAGAGTCTCCGTCAAGATGCTATAGCTATCTATCGAACATTTGTCACCATGGTACGGGGGAACCGCGTGAATCCACTGGACGAACAAACTCCCTAGTCTCCACCAAATTTAGAGCCGGAATGAATAGTAGAAATCGGCCTACAAAGGCCAAGGGAGTTAGTCAGCCATAGAGGGTCAAATGTGCCTGCTTTTGGACCTAAGGTAACTCATGACAAATGTATGTGATGACTTTGCTGTTAGTTGTCTATGATTTTATTCGGAATGTACATTAAAATATATGTAATAACTTTAGCGTGAAAACAAGACAATGTCTATGGATGCATGTATATAAGTTATAAATTAGCTATAGTGCATAACAATTTGGTGTTGTGTGACAAAAAATTTCCTTGAATCTGGAGATGTCTGTACATTAGTAATAAAGATGTTACGAAGCACTTCAAATTCTAAACGTGTTTGTTTCTCTCTTGGTGTACCCTTGTTGTAGGTTTAATGCACATATAGGTCACTATTATAGGCATTGACTAAAATGGTGCATTCAAAGGTAGTAGTACCTTACAACAATGACATCTGAAAAAAATGCAAATTTGAAAACGCTGTCTTTGATGGCAGTATAAATATGATTCAAGCCTGATTGAATAATGTTCTTTATCATTTTCTGGTTGCTACGTACCACCATCAAAACATGCTGTGCTGTGATTGTATGTAGAACAGACTGCCAATCAGTGAAAAGATTGGGTTGATTAGCTTATTCTTATAGCTTATTAAGGGAGTGTACAGGAGATAAATAAACATCAATGGTTCATTAGAGTCAAACTGAAAGATCTATCATCGACATGATCCGCACGCGAAGTCTCCTCTGGTTCGGACAAGCGCATAATATAACCAGTAAACCGCCATTTTAGGCGTAACACAACAGTTTTGTCTTGAACACTTAACAGATAAGTACTGCACTAGGGGTCATGAAGGTCGTAACGATCACAAGAATTTCTGTTTGTAACGTTAGCGCCAAAGTTACCAAACATGAGTATTTGAAATCTTTGTGCAGCATAAACATATTCACTAAATGAGCCACTGATCGGCCAGTGTGCGGAAGCCTCTTAATACCTTTCCCATCATTTTGCGGGTCATCATTTTACCATGCATATAGACAAACTCAAAGTTGTTTTAAGTTGTTTGCAGCCAAGAGAGGAAAAACTGGTTTAGTTTGGTAGAATTAGATCCGCAAGCTATAAAAGAAGTTAAGTTCTGTTAGGCCACACCAATTTAATTTCTTGGTTAACGGATTTTTCTAGAAAAATATTGAAGCGGGCGGGCGAAAAAAAATAAAAAATAAAAACAGGCCTTGGCATCGTATTATGGCCCAAAATGGTACGATAGGAGCCATGAAGTCAACACACCAGGCTGGTTCAAAATCTAAACAATGAATTTTGAACTTTTAATGATACCAGTGCATTGAAAGATGGAATAACTAACAACTAGGATGACAAGGTCTGTTTTTAACTGTTCAGGGCAAAATATGAGCATTTTGCAGTTGATTCTGGATTTTTATTTCTATTTGCAAATCAGAAAAAAATGAAGCGGCGAATCTGTTAACCAAGACATTAAATTGGTGTGGTCTTATGTATATTTAGTTTCTGCGAACGGATTTCCTATGGCGACAGCGTCCAAAGCAGTCAGATTAGTTTACACGGACGCTTCATCGACAGGATTCGGAGGATACGTGTTCAAGTTGGAACATCGTTTTGCATAATGCACCTGGACAGAATCAGAAAGGAGACAGAGTTCCACCTGGAGAGAGTTGCGTGCCATTCATTTAGTGTCAGACGGTTTGAAGGAAGAATTGAATGGAAAATGTGTCAAATGGTAATGCGACAATACTGCTGCTATCAGAATTGTACAAATGGGTAGTACAAAGAGACACATGATATTGCTTTTGACATTTTTGAGACGTGCGCACAGTATACTAGTGCGCCATTTCGTGTGAAATGGAATGGATACTTAGAGAAGACAACGAGAAGGCAGATGCACTGTGTAAATACTTTGATGTTGATGATTATGACTTGGATGCTAGAGTGTTCTCATGTCTGGCAGGTTGTGGGGACCTCATGAAGTGGACAGATTTGCCAACCACCTAAATAAGAAATTAGTAAGGTTCTATTCTAAAAGTTGGTTAGCCCTGGTTAGGCAGAAGGATTGTTTCTACACAGAGGATGTAAAGTTTAAATATAGTTAGTATTCTATTGTTATAGGGAGAAATATCACATAATGACTTAATCTATAACATATTTGTGTTTTGTCTCTTATGTTTGAATATTTCCAACATGGCTTCTGGCGAAACGCTTGGAGAACCCACACCTGAAGGCGTCGGCTGAAAAAATTGCCCGGAGTTGCAGTGGCATCAGGAGCGCCCGGGACTGTTCACCAGTACAGTGGAGCTTTTCAGAAATGGCGTGAGTTCGCCGACAAATATCCAGAAGTAAATATTTTCTCAGCATCATCTTTTCATGTAAGTTTGTATATGTTAGAAGTGATGCAAAACACATCTTCCGTTTCTGCAGTAGAGAGAGCGTGTTACGGGATTAGATGGGCGCACACCAAGGCTGGCGTGATTTCTCCCACGTATAATGTAGTGCAAAACATACTTAATGCAGCCAAAAGTATCCTAGGGAAGCCTAAGGTGAAGAAATAGGCAATTACACGTGAGTTTCTAGGAAATCTGGTGAAGCATTGAGACAAGGATGACTTATCTACATTGCGTACACTGACCTTTTAGTTATTCAAATGGCTGATCAATGTTATATTTATCTTTGGAATTATGATCAGTCGGGCATTATGTTCTATTCAGTTATTTAAGTTATTTATACCTTTGTTACTTTTGTGGGCACCTTTGTTGTTTAGGCCACACCAAGTAAATTTTATGGATGACGTCCGCGCACGCATTGATTTTGGCCTGTTCCTAGAAAAAAACACAAGAAATTCCGCTTCCTGTAACTATGACCAAAGAGTCACGACAGTGCCACAAATCGTTAGATTGACGTGAACCCCGTAACGTGAAATGGGTAAAGAGCACATGCTTTGTTTCTGCAGGCCTGCAAAAATGTGATGAAAGAAACAGGACAGGACAATAAACGACTTCCTGCTTGTTACACTGTGTCACCTCATTCAATTTGTGTCCTAACATTTGTCGCCTCTTAATATATTTCTAATCTAGGCATCTTGTTTTTCAGGGCCTTTCTTTTTTTTTTCGCCCTCTCGCATTAGATTTAGGGTCTCCAAAGGACGTCATCCATAAAATTTACTTGGTGTGGCCTTACGTTAAATGCTGGATTATGTTCAGATTATTTTGTGCTTTATTTTAGGTCGACCTCTGACCTCTCCTATTGATTTTGAACTTACTTTATTATTTTGTAATCATCATTATGTACAAGTTTTGTTATTATATTTCAGTCCATACCATGGTATGGATGAAATATATTGTGTTCTCTCATGTTTCTCCTCCTCCTCCTTCTCCTCCTGCCAAACAGTCAAAGGGATTCATCTCCGCCATCATTCAGCCAAATGACCTGAAATTTGGCATGGAGGTAGAGTGGACAAATACCCCCAGACGTTTTTTTCATTTTTTTGAAACATGCCTTTGAAAAATTTTTATGAAGGTTTTTTGGGGCATTTTTCGACAAAAAATGGATTTTTGGATCCTGAGCCCTGGTATTACAACCAAATGATATGACATTCGGTATAAGGGTACCTTGAACGTGTGTCTACAGAATAGCAGTCATGTATTTGGCATACACCACTTCCAAATGACTCATTTGGGGGGACTTTAATGGCTATTTTCAGCAAAAAAAAGGGCCAAAAGTGCTGTACCCATTCCATGTTCTATCTAAAGAATGGCCGGTTCCATCCATGGAACACGTGTTCCATGGAACACGTGTTCCATTGCAGGTTACCTGAGGTCACATTGCACGTAAGTCGTGCCTAATGACCCACACATTCAATTTTATGTGCCTTAGACCTTCAAATGTATCAAATCTCATCATTGTTAGTTTTTGCATACACCTGTACCTGTAATAAGATTAGTAAAGCTTTCGAGATTCAAAGTACTTGTTGTTGCATCTTTGTTCTCATATATAGCTACTGTTTAATTCAGTTATTTGAGAACCTTTGCCAGTTTTGCACTTGGGTAAGTTTGGAATAGTCCACTTTTGCGTGGGAGGGAGATGGACTGAAATATGCTGTATTTGCTCCCAAGCAAATGTCGGCCTTTCTAGTTGTTTTTGTTTCAACTTGACTGTCTACAAAATCAGTCTTTATTGTAAATCAGTCTTTATTGTAACAAAATCAGTCTTTATTGTAACAAAATCAGTCTTTATTGTAACAAAATCAGTCTTTATTGTAACAAAATCAGTCTTTATTGTAACAAAATCAGTCTTTATTGTAAATCAGTCTTTATTGTAACAAAATCAGTCTTTATTGTAACAAAATCAGTCTTTATTGTAACAAAATCAGTCTTTATTGTAAATCAGTCTTTATTGTAACAAAATCAGTCTTTATTGTAACAAAATCAGTCTTTATTGTGACAAAATCAGTCTTTATTGTAAATCAGTCTTTATTGTAACAAAATCAGTCTTTATTGTAACAAAATCAGTCTTTATTGTAACAAAATCAGTCTCTATTGTAACAAAATCAGTCTTTATTGTGACAAAATCAGTCTTTATTGTAACAAAATGTCTTTATTGTAACAATATTTGGCCAGAAATATTGGCCGAGGATTATCTATGGCAACAGTATCCAAACAACCCCCTTCTCCACCCTCCAGGACAGACGGGAAACTGCAGCGAAGACACTCTTCAAGCAAATGCGGGATGTCAACCACCCTTTGCATTCCCTGGTTCCGGACGACAGACAGCAGAGCACACGACGGTCCCTGAGAAACGGAAACCACATCTCCACACCGAAATACAGTGATTCAAACACTTCTTTAAACGGACTCTGACCGCAACCTTAGGTTGGCCTTCTTAAGCTTCTTCATAAATGAAATATTATAAAGCCATAAACTCCCCGGTCGTAACCGATCCCGGATTCAAAATGAGTTTTCA